GCTTGAGCCCGGTAGCTTGGCGACGGCAGGCGCGTCAGTGACCGCGGCTGGCGAGACAAGGCTGCTTTTCTCTGCGTCGCCGAGGCGCGCGGCGGCTGACTTGGACTGCCCCGCATGTCACGAAGCGGCATCGACGCAGACGTTATGTTGGCCTTGCCATTTGCGCTGCAACGCATTGAACACGGATCAGCAGACTGCTGACCCATACTCCATGCGCCGATGCCAGATGCCCCCTGAAGCGCGCAAGCTCGAACGTGCACAACTACGCACGCGCGTTGAAGGCCACCCGTGCGACGCGGGCAGCCAATGGAACGGCGGGCAGCACGCGGCTTTAGATTCGCACCAGCTGGCTTGCTTCTGGACGGCGGGCTGCGCGCGCACGTCGATCTCAGCGACGCTGCGATTGCCGACTGGGTCCACGCCGAGTTGCACTATAGCGCGTTTCCAATCGATGCGCCGCTCCTGCGTTCACCGCGCTCTGAGGTTCTTGGGACTTCATTGCGGGAACGGCGAGGGCCGCCAGCGATGCGACATATTTTGAAATCGTGAGCGCCCAACAGAAGACTGTGGAGCACCTGCAGGCGAGCTCCTGGTTTTGCACGCGCTCCTTCGGCGCGCTGTCGAAGTTCACCTGGGCGGCGCGCCTGGCGCAGAGCAGGCGGCATCGTCGATCAAGGCTGCTTCGGCCACGGCAAGTGTAGACGATCTGGCCGGGCACTGGCGCCTCGAAATGGTCGGCGGCGCCGGCCAGCTCCGAATCCCGGATTATAACCACATGGTTTAACATAAACTTGCGTCTGGGACGGGCAGTGCCATGTCGAAACGCCACGCGATGAACGACGCGGCCGACCAGCGGGGGGGCGGCGCCTGCGTTGAAGAGGCCCCGCTTGCAATTGCGGCCAGTTGCTGCTCCGACCTGCAACGCTCGCGTGTCCGAGCGGCGTTGTCAGTTCCACTGCTGCGCGCGCGTTTGCTAAGCTTGCAAAGCCGCAGTTGCGGCGACGCCCTCGCGGGGTGCGCGTAAACCATGCCAGCGCGCGCGTGTTTTTTTTCCGCGGCCGGGCCGCCCCCTGGAGGCGCGGCCAGCCGAGGCGATGCAAAGCTGCACCTGCGTGGAATTATGCAACTGGCGGCGCGGTCGCGTCGCGCTCGATCCGGCGCCCCGCCGCGAGCGCGCGCGCCAGCCGCCCCGCGCGCGTCGCAATCGCAGATCGCCCGCCGCCGCCGTTGATTCCACCTCCGCCCCTGGAACGACTGCGCCACGAGCCCCGCCCCCACCTCCGCCCCCGTTCCAACGCGCGCCGCGCTGCCCCCCCCCCCCGCCCCCGCACCGAATAAACGACGTGGGCGCGCCGCGCGGGGGCCCCCCACCCCGCCCCCAAGACAGCGCGAAACGCCGTCGACGTACGCGCGCAACGCGCGGGCATCCATCTCAACCCCAGACCGACAACGCGAGCGCGCCGCGCTGGGACCCCCACCCCCGCGCGCAGTAAACCGAGCCCCATGGCCCCCCCCCGCCCCCGGCGCATTCCGGGAGCGGCCGCGACAAATTATCGCGAGGCGGGCGGCGGCGGAACTTCGAGGGCCCATCGGGGCCCAATGCGCCGCGCCTCGAGCGCGCGCGCTGCAAAGCACCAAGCGCGCCGCGGCGCGGGGGCGCCGCGCGCCAGGGGGGCGGCGGGGGCGGGGGGGCGGGCCGGGGGGCGGGAGAGAGGGGGCGCGGGCCCTCGGGCTCGGCAGTCAGCTGCGACGCAACTGTCCGCTGACTGATGGACGGCGCTCGGCATTGCCGGGCCGAATTGAAAACGGGCCGCGGACGAAGCAAGTCAAACGGGCAATGCGCCGGGCGCGGGGCGGCGCCACCGCGCGCGCAGCGGGCGCGCCGCAGTCGCGAGCCAACGCCCGCACGCGCTATGGCCGCGCAAAGTTGCGCGGCGGCCGCCCTCGACGACGCACTAATCAGCGCGGGCGCATCACTCCCTATAGTCACCGGAATGTTGTCGTTTGCGAAGCCGCCGAGCCAAAGACTGTGAATCTCGTGGCGGCGTCGGGGCGGCGCGCCCCATGGGCGCGCGATCTGGTTCCATTTGCCGCGCTTGAATGGCAAGCGCGCCCGCGTATAACGTCGCAGACTGACTCGCTGACACCCGGGCCCGCTCGCGCTCAGCCCCGCGACCCCAGTGGGGCCCGCTTGCTTGGGCTGCATTTCCGACGCTCCGCCGGCCACGAACGCGCTCGCAACAACCGCCTTGCATGTCCAACTCAAGGCGGACGCGACTTCGAAGGTTTCACGATCACTGGCGAACTGAATCCACGGCTGCTGGGGGCGACCCCGAACGCAACAAAATATCGATGCGAGCTGGAATTAGAAAGCTAGGGCGCGGGCAACATACATTCATCTGTTTCCAGGATTGCCCCGGGCGCATCAAAACGTCGACGTCGCCCGCGCGCCAAAGCGCGACCAAACCATGCTTTGCAACTTCTGCAAGGGCACGCAGAGAGCTTTCGGAACCGCCTTATCCAATGTCTCGAAGGCTGCATCCACGATGCAAAATCTGTCGGCGCGGCCGCTTTAAATTACATCGGCGCCTGGACAGACGCCATGCGTTCAGACGCCGTAGCACCGGCGCCCATCATTCAATATCTCACTCCCCGTGGGCCGTTCATTCAAAGAGTTAGCAGGCTTGAATACGCTATGCAATTCCATGTTATGATGCCAACGCAGCGGCTGCCTGTACCATACGGCTTGTCACGGCAACCCACAAGGCTGCCACCATATACCAAAACTCGCACCCGGATGCGAGGAGGGACTCGAGCCCAAACAGAGCCATCGCGTCAGCAATGCCCATAAACAGGATACGATAAGTTCATCTCGATGATGCGTCGCCAAGTGTCGCCTGGGAACGCGTGCTCAGCGTTAAAGACGGTATTGGCCTCCGCTGACTCGCATGAGAGCCTGCGCCACAAGCGCGCCTCCTACGAACTGGTGAAGTGCATGCGCCAAAGGAATGTGGGACCGGTTGCGCTGCTGCTGTGGCAGCGCCAACAAAGACAAAGGGCTGCTACTGTGGCTCCCCTGGCTCCTGCTCCTGATCTGGTTCCTGCAGCATCAGCACGTATGTGATTGTACAATGAATACACACGCAGAATACGCGAAGCAACCTTGTGCACCAAGTTGGCATTTTGATTCGGAATTGTTACGGTGGAGTGTTGCTCGTTGGTGCGTGGGCCCATGGGCCCACCGCCAGATCAACGGGGGCCCGTGGAAAAAAGGCATCAGTTGGATGTGGACGCCTGCAGGCGACGAACAATGCTATCAGGACTACACGCAAGCGTTTAGAGCGCGGATGCATACCTGGCCTCGCCCTCGAAACGTTGCCAAAAGAAAACGACGTAACGCGCGAGTGGGGAGCACAACGCGCTCAAAACGATGTAGCTCGCTTCGCTGGTGGGCCGCGCAACGGGCTGAAAACGTCATGGGTGTTTGCTCTGCGAGCGGCACGCGCGCTCCCCCGGAGGGGGCCCCGCGCCCCCCCACTCACGCCGCCATGGCCCTCCTCAGTGATGCGCGCTTGAAGCTGCGCGCCCGCCCGGATCCGATGCGGGGAGGTGCGTGGTGAAATCGAAGACCAAACAAAGCAAAGTGTCAAACAACAACTGGTTTCCTCGAACTTCCCAAAACATCCACCGAGACGACCCCTAACAACACCAAACGTAACAGCACTTAAAATCCGAAGTCATCGCATACAAAAAATGTATGGTAACTCAAAGGGAAGCGCATATTGTACAACATGCAACTCAGCACAAACAGCCTTGAGCACGCTTACGGAAAGTATAATCATTAATGGGGTACCAGAACTCACAATAATTGGTTTTGAACGTATGGGGTCCCCGCGGGAGAACCGGACGCGGCGGCGAAGTTGCGGGCGCTGGCCCTCGAGTGGCTCGGCAACGCGGGCTGGACTGAAACACGGGCTTTCGCCCGCCCGTTGGGCTTCCCCACGCGCGGCAAGTTGGGCGCAGTCCCGCTGGTGCCCGCGGACGTGCTGGCGGGGCTCGTCGACGCAGCCCTGCGCCGCGTCGTTTCGCATGGGGGAAGCGGCTCCTGAGGGAAGCGGGCCCCTGGGCCCTGAGGCCTTCTCCCAGGACGAACCTCTCCATACTGAGTCGTTTCCTCACGGCCTCCTGGGGCCCGCGCAAGGGCCCCAGGAGGCCCCAAACTCGCCATTGATCGGACGTCCTTGCCCCGCGTTGTTGCTCGGCTTCGAAGGTGTTTTTTTTGAGGGGAGGGCGATGATCCAGGGTGTTCCTGGATGGTCCCCGCCGGAAAACGAAAACGGTGGAGAACCACAAGGCCCGCTTCTCTCAAGACCCGCTTCCCCCCGTGGCGAGTCCCGGTCCAGCACGGCCGCCACCGTCGCTCCAGCCTACACCGCAGCGGCTCAGGCTGCGCCGCGACGGCGCTGCGCCGAAGCGGCGGCGGCGGCGGCCCGGCCCCAGCCGCTGGGCCGCCTGGGCAGGGTTTCCCTGGGCGCGGGCGCCCACGCGGGCCCTTTGAAAGAAGAGGGGTGGGGGCAGGGGACGCGTTGAAGGAGAAAGGGGAGCTATCATGGCCCCGACCATGATATGCCCCCCCCGTATCACCAGCCCCCTCTTGGCAAGCCTCTTGGCCGCCCCCTCCCTTCCCTCCCTTTTCCTTTCTCTTTTCGCAATTTGCAGCGCGCAGTCGCGCGCGGGCACGCCAGGCACTGCTGGGCCGGGACGGGGGCGCCAACCGCTTCTGAAGCCTACGGGCCCCCCATTCCCGGACCGTCCCTCCCCTTGCTCTCCGATGTGGCGCGCGCGGTCGTCCGTCGTTCGTCGTTCGTGTCGTGCCGCTGGGTTCCGTCGGTGCTGGTTTTCCCGACCATCCTGTGTTGCTGGGTCCTCGTTTTGAAAAACAAAAAAAAAAAAACGCGCCGCGTTCCACCTCCTCTCCGATGTGGCAGGCGCGCGCGGGCCCTGCTCATCTTGTGCAGCACGACGCTGCTGTCGTGGGGCTCCGCCTCGGCGCGTCTGCGGCACGCTCTCTCTCTCTCTCTCTCTCTCTTTCTCTCTCTCTTTCTCTCTCTTTCCGGTCGAGGCACATCAGGAATGACGAACATCAGAGGCCCTTGAACCCCATTTTCCCTCTCATCGACAGACATGGGTATATCCATTTATACACACTACATGCATATATGTACGCACAGTTGGTATATATATATATATACACTGGTATATACAGATATATCTATATATGTCTGTATATGGATACGTGTGTGTGTAGATATATTTACATGTATGTCCATGCACATACACACATCTACATACACATACATGTATACAATAATTCAATTAAATCTCAGCATGCAGATGTCCGCGGTGGTTGCTTGGCTTGGATCGGGACCTCCGTCCCTGGCGCGCGGAGAGCGCCAGGAGCTGCACCAGTGACACAGCCAAGAGGCCTAGCGCCGATCCCAGAAATCCGCGTGGACCTTCAAAAACTGATGCGCATCTTGCTTCTTAGTTGTACATATCCGCAAGGCCCTCTAACAGGGATATGTCGACCCCTATCCCAGCCTTCGTGGGGTTGTCGAATAGAATGCGAATTTTGGGCCCAACCCTGGGATATACGATGGGGCGGCGACCATCCTCGATAGGGGTACGTCCGAATAGCCCCCTGGGGGTGCATCCCAGAATCTCCCGCTTCTTCTGAGCGGCCAAAGTTTTCGGGCGGAACTCGGAGACTGGGGGAGACAAATCGCCTGCGATCCTCCTCTTCCTCGCTTTCTCCTCCCCAGATCATTGGATACCGATTTGTGCTCGGTCGCGATCAGTAGCGACTGATCGGCACTTCAGATCGGTCAGGACCGATCGTGACTGATCCCCAACTGTTTCGCGACGGGTCGCGACCGATCGCAAACGATCGGTCGCGACCGCTCGGTCGAGTTCGCTTTTCAAGCAGGCCTGTCGCGACCGATACCGAAACTTGATGCAATATCGGTCTCGGGGACTCGGTCTCGCCTCCCCGAGGCCCTCTCCCGCGCCTGCTACCTCTCGACCTGGCCTCTGCCTGCCCCGGGACCCCGGGCCTGTCCACGGAGGCCTGTGGTGGGACCCCGGGCCTGATCCCCGAACGGGGATCATCGCGCTTGGCGTCGGGCGTCTGCCAGGAAAGGTCTGCGAGGCTAAAAAGCATGCCCGGAGGAGGGGGAGGAGGAGAAGGAGAAGGAGGATGACGAGGAGGAGGAGGAGGAGGAGGATAAAAGCATGCCTGGAGGGCCGGAGGAGCACAAAGAGGAGGACGGGCGAGGGACGAGGAGGTGGAAGGGAGGACGGAGGAGGTGGGAGAGAGAAGGGGAGAGGGAGAGAGGAGGGTGATGTAAAGCGTGGGTGCGAACCGGCTGCCTCGCATAATTTTGTGTGGCTCGCCAGAAAAGCGAAAGAAACCTTAGGATGGAGCCCAGCCGACGTAGCGCTCAGTTTCTTACCGAGGCTTTTCTCCAGACCGCGAGGAGTCTGACAAACAAGCAGCACTCCTCATCACCATCAGGGGCCAGAACAGGAAACGGCCAACGGATTGCTCCTTCCTGCGCAGCTTCATGTGCGACACTGCCTGGTCCGTTTCCTGTTCCAGCTGCGCAGGTGCTGAACTGCAACGATTTGAAAAGACGGAGCCTGCAAATGTATCAGTTCAACGTGCGCGAAGACGCCTGAAAAGAACCCTCCGCCTACTCCGCCTCCAATTCCTCGACCTCCTAGGAACCGTCCTTCCCCCTCGCCTCCTCCACTTTCTCCCTCTCCTCCTATGCGTCCCTCTTTCTCCTTATCCTTTATCCTCTCCTCTTCCTCCTCGTCATCCTCCTTATCCCCATCCTCCCTCCGTCCATCTCTTCCACCAGACTCCCCTGCCTCCCCATCCTCAGCTTGCTCATCAATACTTTCCTGTCGCTCATCGTCCTCTCTCTTCTCCTCTCTTCCTCTCTCTCACTTAATATTCCAACCTATATGCAATATATATATATATATATCTCCCTCTTTCCCTCATTCTCTCTCTCGCTCTCTCTGTCTCTCCCGTTCCCTCCCTCCTCCTCCTTCTCTGAAATCATAAAAGTACACGTGTTGGTACATCTGAGTTGTTTTGGTTTGCTTTTTAGCATCATCCTCGCCCTACTTGAAGAAGCCTGGGCTTATTATCGGACCCTTCCTGTGCGGAAGGGGGCCTGTTCCAGCTGTCCCGATCCCGGCAGCTGGCCCAGTCCCCGAAGAAATTGAAAGAAGGGTGAGCAACTCAGCAATGAGCCTGGAGCCGCATCAAGGGCAACAGCAATGCCATCGGTAGAGGAAGGCGGGAGATCGGACTGCAGCAGCGGTTGAACGACTTCAAAGCTGCCGCTGAAACACATCGAGCGCACAAGGGATGACCTCCCGTGGAGAGGGGCGGTGCGACCCATCACTTCCCGCTGACTAGCAGAGGGATGAAACAGAGGAGCCCTAGCACTGACGGAGAACGAAGAGAAGGAATCAAGAGAATAATAAACAAAATACTGGCACTCTCACGAAGGAAACTATTAATACGAGGAGAACGAATAATTTTTAGAAGCATACAGGTAAGAGAAAACATGATAAGTAGTATAAGCACGAGAGTAAAAATACGAATGAGACGAAGAAACAGAAGTTGGCGGCGCGCAGAGTAGGGAGGAGGGCGCGAAGGGGGCGACAGTCCGACAAGCGGGGGGGCTTCTTAGAAGGGGCCGGCCCTTGAAGGCCTCCACGAAACTGGACGAGAAAGCAGGCCTGCCTCAAGGAGGCGGGGTGGCCCTTCTCTTGCCCAGACTCCCTTCTGCGCGGCGCTGGCAATCCGAAGCTGGGCGAGGGCGGGTAAATCCGTGGCTGCTAAAACGGTCTTCCCGGAAGAAATTAGCCTGGCGAACGACCCAACCATATGCAGTTGTGAATACTGCAAATATGAATATCATTTTCGATGGCGCTACCTCTGGGTAGGGGAGACGGGCCTTCGGTGGAGCCCCCTATGGGGCTACGGAGCGCTGCCCTGGGTGGGGGAACCGCATGCGGGCACCCCCACTGGGGCCTTCGGTGGAGCTCCCTATGGGGCCACGAAGCGCTGCCCTGGGTGGGGGAACCGCATGTGGACACCCCCACTGGGGCCTTAGGTGGAGCTTCCTATGGGGCTACGAAACGCTGCCCTGTGTGGGGGAACCGAATGCGGGCAGCCCCACTGCGGCCTTCGGTGGAGCTCCCTATGGGGCCACGAAACGCTGCCCTGGGTGGGGGAACCGCATGTGGACACCCCCACTGGGGCCTACGGTGGAGCTCCCTATGGGGCTACGAAGCGCTGCCCTGGGTGGGGGAACCGCATTGTGGACACCCCCACTGGGGCCTTCGGGGGAGCTCCCTATGGGGCTACGAAACGCTGCCCTGGGTGGGGGAACCGCATGTGGACCCCCCCACTGGGGCCTTCGGTGGAGCTCCCTATGGGGCTACGAAACGCTGCCCTGGGTGGGGGAACCGCATGTGGACACCCCCACTGGGGCCTTCGGTGGAGCTCCCTATGGGGCCACGAAACGCTGCCCTGGGTGGGGGAACCGCATGTGGACACCCCCACTGGGGCCTTCGGTGGAGCTCCCTATGGGGCCACGAAACGCTGCCCTGGGTGGGGGAACCGCATGTGGACACCCCCACTGGGGCCTTCGGTGGAGCTCCCTATGGGGCTACGAACGCTGCCCTGGGTGGGGGAACCGCATGTGGACACCCCCACTGGGGCCTTCGGGGGAGCTCCCTATGGGGCACGAAACGCTGCCCTGGGTGGGGGAACCGCATGTGGACACCCCCACTGGGGCCTTCGGTGGAGCTCCCTATGGGGCTACGAAACGCTGCCCTGGGTGGGGGAACCGCATGTGGACACTCCCACTGGGGCCTTCGGTGGAGCTCCCTATGGGGCTACCTGCCCACGCACACCCCACTGGGGCCTTCGGTGGAGCTCCCTATGGGGCTACGAACGCTGCCCTGGGTGGGGGAACCGCATGTGGACACCCCCACTGGGGCCTTCGGGGGAGCTCCCTATGGGGCTACGAAACGCTGCCCTGGGTGGGGGAACCGCATGTGGACACCCCCACTGGGGCCTTCGGGGGAGCTCCCTATGGGGCTACGAAACGCTGCCCTGGGTGGGGGAACCGCATGTGGACACCCCCGCTGGGGCCTTAGGTGGAGCTCCCTATGGGGCTACGAAACGCTGCCCTGGGTGGGGGAACCGCATGTGAACACCCCCACTGGGGCCTTCGGTGGAGTTCCCTATGGGGCCACGAAACGCTGCCCTGGGTGGGGGAACCGCGTGTGGACACCCCCACTGGGTCCTTCGGTGGAGCTCCCTATGGGGCTACGAAACGCTGCCCTGGGTGGGGGATCCGCGTGTGGACACCCCCACGGGGGCCTTCGGTGGAGCTCCCTATGGGGCTACGTAGCGCTGCCCTGGGTGGGGGAACCGCATATGGACACCCTCTGGGGCCTTCGGCGGAGCTCCCTATGGGGCTACGAAGCGTGTGAGAGGTGTGCCGAGAGCAGAGGCAAGGAGGGGGAGGAGGGAGGAGGGGGAGGAGGGCAGGAAGGAAAGAACGGGGGGCGCCGTCTTTTCAAAACGAGGACCCAACACCACAGGATGGTTGGGAAAAACCAAATCCCCGGAATACAACTCAGCGCGCAAAAATAAAAAACGGGCTGATTCCCGGAAAAAAACAATCAATTTCCCCGAGTTCCGTTTTATCAGCCACGGGTTTGCCAGCCTTCGGCTTCTGAGATTGGGGGGTGCGTTCCCCCCGTGGACGAGGGCATCCTCCACGTCGCGCGATGCGCGGCGGGAGGAGCAAAGCGGAAAGCGCCCTGCAGTGTGCCTGTGGCCACACACTTGACAAGGGCTCCGCCGGCGTTGGCACTCGAGTGCTGGGCAGCTCTCGCTGTCGTCTGACACCAATGAGCACATCCTGGAAGGTACGATCGGCTGTGGCCC